ATTGGCTTTTACAATTTATACAGCCAACCTTACCCCCCGCACTAATATACCAATTACATGGTGATATTAGTGGATCAAAGCACTTTACCCAAGTCTTAGGACGTGCATGGGCTTTGCATCTTCTTAGAAATACAACCGACATCCATCATTGCAGTGTTTGTACTGCATTAAATTCTCTTCTATGCCTTGAACATTTCCCACTATCTGAGCATTCGAAAAGACTGATACAATCCTCATGGCCAAGCAAACCTTTTCTTACATTGATCGAGCATACGAGGAGTCTATGAAAAATGATTATAGGCCTCGAAAGAATCTCAATGCATTTATTGATTACACCTATCTGCCTCCATTTTATGCAAGTTATGAAAGCTTTTGCAACGTACCAACCTCTAGACCCGAAGTTTGCCAATTACGAACCCTTAAATCAAGCATTTGCAAAAATAGATCTTGAAAAATCTTCGTCTGCCCCATCATCTTCTGTATGGGACACAGCTGCTTCTTCTGCTACCCTACCAACCTCTACATGGGACACAACTGATCTTTCTTCCTCCAGGTCTACTGGCTGGAGAAGTTGGCTAGAACCTGATGAATCCAAGCTAAGAGAGCGGATTAACCATCAATTTGTCGAATTTGCTGATCATCTGTCTTGAGCCTAATTCAGGCCTTCTGTCAAGGTGGTTACCTTCCATCTTGTTTGAGACTAATCTAAGAGGCCAATCTTTGGCTCTGATTCCATAACTTGAGCCCACTTCAGACCACCTCTCAGGATGATTGCCCTCCATCCTGTAGTAGCTGGGTGGTCTGAACTCAGGTAGAGGTCTCTTGCCCTTGGAATGCACTGTAGTGGCTGATGGTCCAGCCAACAATGGCTGCTCTCTGGGACCAGTTGGGTATGGACTCTTGTTGTAGGTACTGGTTGGTTTAGGACGTCTCTGCACATCCTTATAATACTGTTTCCCATCAATTTGGAGCCATTTTAACCATTTGTAACTTAACTTGCATCTTGGACATATCCTTTGCATGACAACTACCTCTAGGGAGTCATTATCTAATGTCTCCTCACTAGAGTCTTCCCTTTGGTCTGCAAAGCTTTGCTCATTCGCTGGTGAACTTCTGGTATCTTTCTTGACAGTAGTCTGACTAGCAATATGCATCTGCACATTAACCTCCTCCAATTCCTTCAAGGATAAGTTCTGGAAGTCTGGCACAACAACATTGGCTGTAACTTCTCCAATCTCTGGAAATGGATTAGTGTCAATCCCTATAGCTTTCTCTGCTTGAGCTAGGAATTTTAAACTCCCCTTTCGAATGTGTTATTGGATTCTGTCCTGAAAAACAATACAATTTTTAGTTGAGTGAGACCAAGAATTGTGCTATTTACAATACATTTTCCATTTAAGTTTTTCTAGAGAAAGAATTTTAACTCTCTTTGGTAACTTTAGGAAATTCGCTGCAAGCAAATGATCAAAAATGTCATCTGTCTTTATTAAATCGAAAGAGTATTTCCTATGAAGGTCTTTCTTTTTAAACTGCTGGTCTATTGTAATGTCTTTATGAATTAATGTCTCACAGATCACAGGCTCTTTCCCTACGATCTCTTGCTGCATCAATCTCATAATTAGGATCTCTATAATAAGTCTTGTACGATGCATTACTTTGATCTTGTTCTTCCTCAAGTAATGATTCATATCTAGACACCTTATAGGTTAATTTCACTAAGTCTCGAAACTCAGTTGAGTCGAACTTCTTTCGAAGCCTAAACTCTAAACTATTTTGAGCCAATCTCACAAATTCAGACTCTGATAGAATGACTCTACACTTGTTTCATGCTCTTTTGAATCTGGTAATAAATTGAATAGCCTTCTCATCAGGTCTTTGACTCAACCTTTCCAAGTCTGTCATAGAAACTTCTGGCTCTATTTGGAAGAATTGGGCATGAAATGCCTCCTCCATTTGATACCAAGTTTGGATACAGCCAGGTGTAAGGTTAATACAAAAACTGCCCCAGTTAGAGAATTTGGAAAAAGTCTTAACTTCATGTAATCATTATTGGTAAATTCACCACATTGGGCAGCGAACCTAGCAATGTGTTCTACTGTTGACTAGTTTTCATTCCCAAAAAAAGAGCAAAGTTTAGTATTCTAAACCCCCTTGGGTATCATTCACCCTATCCACCCGTTCTGGGTATGGCTTCCTATACACAAGAGTTTGAACCTGTGGCAACTCTCACCTCTGATTAGCGTTAACTCTTGATTAAGCATGATAAGTAATTGATTATGATGAAATCCTAAATTGATTATGTGAGTGCGTTGTTTGAATTGCATTTCTATCTGTTTGTTACAGAAGATCTGTTCATGTCTTGAGTTCAAATTACGAATTGAAAGCCCTATCGGCAACCGATTCAGAAATTGACTTGTGTTATGTGCTAATTAGGATTTATATAATTTTATGGTAGGTTAAACCGAAATTTGATTTGGAATGAATAAATTAGAATAAATAATGCTAAATTAATTAAATATAGGTTATCTACATTTTTGCCATTGAGTGGATTAGTACAAGATCAACTCTTATTACACTTCATATATGTTTGCCACATCATCTTTGGCCTCCTCCTTGTACACACACGTAAGAGAGGGAGAGACTTGAGGGAGATGGAATTCAACAAGAGTTTTTGCCTAAAATTTAGAAGAATTGAAGAAAATTTTGAAGACTTGTCTACATTGTTCAAGGATTTGGCTTAGATGAAGTTTGATTGAGACGCCCAGGTAAGAGCTCAACCTTTTAATCTTGTTATTGAACCATCTAGGACTTGTATGTGAATTAAATAGGTGAATTAATGGGAGAATTGAGCTAGAATTTAAGGAAGATAAGTTAATTCATGTATGCATGTCCATACCATGGAGTTTGAAGTTTATTTTTATGAAATTCTCACATGCTGGTTCTTATCATAGTTAAAATCCAAGAATTCACCATGTTTTAAGTTGAATGTTGCATATGATCATGGTTTGAGAAGCTCAAGATCAAGAAACTTCATGCATGTTTTGTTCTTGTATTGTTCATAAAAGTTACATTGAAATTGTGTTCAATTGGTATACTTTTGGGCTTTGATTTTATAAATGATCTTCAAAACATGTTGTATTATGAGTTTCTAAGTGTTTTCCATAAATTTGGTCCAAAAGGATGAGTTTTGGCATGTTTGATTCTTGGTTTAAGGCTTGGAAGCAAATTTGGAAAACCCAGAATTTGGCTTCCTCGCTCAAGCGAAGGATTCCACGCTCGAGCGACCACCTTTGTTTTCAGACTTCCGCTCGAGTGACGGAATGCTGGCTCCAGCGTAAATTGCAAGCTCTCAGGTTCTTGTGTGTGCAGACGCACGCTCGAGCGACAAGACCTAGGCTCGAGTGAAGAACTGTGTCTTACGCTCGAAGGAGCATCGAGCGGAGAATTTTAGCAACCAGTACTTTTCACATTTTTGCAGATCGCTCGAGCGAGGGAATCTACGCTCGAGCGACCTCTCTCATTCGGTAAGCTCGCTCGAGCAAAGGAGTCTATGCTCGAGCGAGACCCTTGTTTTCCACAAGTTTTGAAAAATGTTTTTATGTACCTTTTTGCATCCTCATCCCACCTTAGGCATTCCTAGACCATGTTTAAGGCATCATAATGAGGATAATGATATAGAACCACACCAAGCAAGATAGGGGCTAAGTTATTAATCCCGAGTGTGTAATTTAGTGTGTGTTCGTTCTGCAACTGTGTAGGTTTGGCATCCAAGGACGCTGATTAGCCTGCCTGTAGCCCAGTAATCTGTTAGTAACAATGTTGTAAAGCTATATTCAATTATAATTATTTTCTGAACGATTGACTGTATTATTTTCTAAAATGATATAGTTTGCCGAATGAATATTTGTCATATTTTATGAACTGTACTCGTGGCATCCATAGCAACTGACTGTTACTGTTACTGTTACTGCTACTGTTACTGTTACTGTTACTGCTACTGTTTACAGAGATCTCTGTCAATTCCTATCATTGGAACTACTGTTACTATATTGATGGCCATCAACTGACTGTTCGGTCTATTAAGACCTACTGTACTGTTTTGCTATTGGATGTACCACGTATGACTGTCATGATTTCTAAATGACTGGTATTACATGAAATATGAGTCACTGATTAAATGACTGATCTACTGATGTAAATGATTGTTTCAAATACTGAAAGGGCATCTATTCTAAAACTCTTTACACATTTGTTATTCACTGGGCTTTAGCTCACAATTTATATATGTATGTAGGTGGCCAGGCACTAGACCCAAGCTAGAAGCGTCGAGTTAAGCTCATGTTTTGTCTAGCCAACCATTGTGCCTCACTTCGAGGTTCCGAGTCTGCTCGAGCCAAGGCTATTTTTGGGGTGTTTCGGATTCACCCTTTTTATCCCTACTAATGTAATGAATGTTTAAGACGTTGGACTGTACAGTTATGGTGAAGGGATTAGGTCCATAACCTGTATGTTATTGAATATAAGTGTTTTGATATGTATATATATGCGTATGCCTATGAGTGTGGTTATGTTCATAAAAGTTTTTCCCATTCAGGTTTTCACAGCTCATTGGACATCTTTTTATTACTGATTGGCTTCCGCCAGCCCCTTTATATTGTATTACTGTTAATCAGGCCTTTGGTAATCGCGGATTACTGGCCGGTTACGATGCTAAACCCTTAAGGGCAGGTTTGGGTCGTGACAGAGTGGTATCAGAGCATGAGTTATACCGCACACACGTGTCCAAATGAGCTATAGGATGTCCTAGGAAAGTAATAGGGCATTTCTTGAGTATACATAAGTGTGTGTGGGTGTTATATGTGCAACCTAATGAACAAACATGAATATGAAACCATCTTTCCTATGTTTATCATTACCATGTTTCCTATAGTGAAATTGAGAACACAAGAAATACTGATGAACTTGAATCATTTGAAGCAAAAACGGCAAGGTTGGAAAGAATGGTTGACCTATTGACCGAGGCTCTGAGGCAACAACAGAACCAACAGCCCCCACCTCCTCCAGTACAGCCAGAACCGAATGTCAATGATGATGTAATTGCCTTGACACAAAAGTTTAACAAAATGAAGCCACCAACATTCCAGGGAGGTCTTGAGCCACTAAAGGCCGAAGCACGGGTTTTAGAAACTGAAAAGCTGTTCGATGTATTTCCCTGCTCAGAGGCACACAAAGTGTTACTGGCTACATTCACTTTACAAGAAGAGGCCAGACGGTGGTGGATGCTCATTTGTGATACCAACAATGCTATGACTTAGGCTCAGTTTAAGGAAGCTTTTTATGAGAAGTATTTCCCGCAGTATGTCAGGGATCGTAAAGTAACTGAATTTGAACAATTGAAGCAGGGTACCATGTCAGTAGCAGAATATGAATCCAAGTTCACTGAACTCGCCCGACATACACCACACATGGTTGATGCTGATTATAAAAAGGCTAGGAAGTTTGAAGGCGGGCTTAATGTGGAGATACTTGATCGAATCAATGTCTTGAAACTGCTCTAATATGTGGATGTTCTTGACCGAGCAATTATGGCCGAGGCAAATGTTGCTGCGTTGAAACAAACTAAGACACCAGTGACTGAATGGTGGGGTAAGAGACAATGTTTCAACTTCAAAAAAGGCCGAAACAACTCATTGAATAAAAAACAAAACACAGGGTCAACAAGCGGCTCTAGTCAAGGAAACAATTCTATACCACCTTGTCTCGAATGCGGCAAAAGACATAAAGAGGTTTGCTACAAAATTTCTGGGGGCATTTTACAGGTGTGGCAAGGTGGGCCACATGGTCAAAGATTGCCCTTCCACGTCTCAAGGCACTAGTAGAGCCGCAGCTAGTGCCGTAGCATCAACTGTTACACCAAAACCCAATCCCAAGGCTACCGGAAAGGAACCTTTAAGGCAAGGCCGGGTGTTTGCACTTGTACCGGGAGATGTGCAGAACACTGAGACTGTTGTGTCAGGTATACTCTCAATTTGTGCTCAAAATGCTTACATTCTGATTGATTCGGGGTCTACACATTCGTTTGTCTCGCATGTTTTTTCACGAAAATTAATTAGGCCACTGGAACCCATGAATTATTTATTAGCTGTGTCATCACCTCCTAGGGGATCTATGACTTATGCTTATGTGTATCGTGCATGTGCGATTGTTATTGGAGATGCACTTTTGTATGTTGACTTGCTACCATTGAATATTGATCATTTCGATGTAATTTTGGGAATGGACTGGCTAACAAAATATCATGCCTCTATTGACTGTGTAACAAAGCAAGTTGTTTTTCACCCACCTGGATTGCCTGAATTTTTGTTTAACGAAGTTGGTGTTATGCCTCCCCCATACTTAATTTCGTCTATGAAAGCATTCAAATTGATTAAAAAGGGGTGTAAAGGGTATTCATGTTGTATACTGACTGTACCCACTAATACTAAAGCTAATGTGGACAGTATTCCTATAGTCAGAGAATTCCCAGATGTTTTTCCAGATGACTTGCCAGGGGATTTGATTGATAAGGAGATTGATTTCACCATTGAGGTGTTACCGGGTACACAGCCAATTTCCAAAGCTCCGTACAAAATGGCACCTACTGAATTGAAAGAATTGAAAATCCAGTTACAAGAAATGTTGGACAAAAAGTTTATCAGACCCAGTACTTCACCGTGGGGCGCACCAGTTTTGTTTGTGAAAAAGAAGGATGACTCATTGAGATTTTGTATTGATTACCGCGAATTGAACAAGGTGACAGTGAAAAACAAGTACCCACTGCCTCGTATTGATGATCTATTTGACCAATTACAAAGTGGTCAGGTCTTTTCCAAAATCGACCTTAGATCCGGATATCACCAATTGAAAGTCAAAGTAGAGGACATTGAAAATACAGCCTTCCGAACAAGGTACGGACATTATGAATTTCTTGTTATGCCTTTCGGAGTTACTAATGCGCCTGCTGCATTTATGGATCATATGAATAGAATTTTCAAACCATTCCTTGATGAATTTATGGTTGTTTTTATAGATGACATTTTGATTTATTCCAAGAGTAAGGAGGAACATGAACATCATTTGAGAATTGCTTTACAAACCTTAAGAGAACAGAAACTATATACAAAACAAAAAAAAAAAGTGTGAATTTTGGCTAGATAGCGTTATGTTTTGGGGGCATGCAATTGGTAAAGATGGTATTTCAGTTGATCCACAGAAGATTGAAGCCGTGGTGAATTGGCCTAGACCGACAAACGTTACCGAGGTTTGGAGTTTCTTGGGTTTAGCCGGGTACTACAGAAGGTTTGTGAAAGATTTCTCCAAAATTGCTTTGCCATTGACTCAGTTGACTCAAAAGGGAATGCCATTTGACTGGACCGATCAGAAAGAATCAGCTTTCCAAGAATTGAAGACTCGACTTGTGACTGCATCGATTCTCACCCTACCCTCAGGTACGGATGGATTTACTATTTTTAGTGATGCTTCTTATAAGGGTTTAGGATATGTGTTAATGCAAAATGGTAAAGTTATTGCATATGCTTCTCGACAACTGAGGCCACATGAAAAGAATTACCCAACTCATGATTTATAACTTGTCGCGGTGGTGTTTGCATTGAAAATTTGGCGTCACTACCTATATGGGGCAACATGTGAAGTGTACACCGATCACAAGAGTGTAAAGTATTTCTTTACACAGAAAGAGTTGAACATGAGACAGATGAGATGGTTAGAACTGATAAAAGATTATGACTTACAAATTTTATACCATCCGAGGAAAGCTAACACCGTTGCTGATGCACTTAGTGAGAAATCAATTGGGAATTTAGTCTGTTTACTCACCGGACAGAAAGAACTGCTACATGCCTTTGAGAAATTTGAGGTTGAGATTGTTTTGCGTGAACAAGGTGGAATATTGGCTGTTATTTCTGCTCAACCGGCACTTATTGGGGAAATTAAAGAGAAGCAACAACAAGACGAATTTCTAAAAAAGATCATCGATGAACGGGAATTCAAATCAAGGCCAGATTTCAGATTTGAGAATGATGTGTTAAAATTCTAAGGGAGGTTGTGTGTACCAAATGATCCTGAATTGAAAAAGTGAGTTCTGCAGGAAGGCCACAGTTCGAAACTTTCTATCCATCCAGGAAATACAAAAATGTTCCAAGATTTGAAGCTTAATTTCTGGTGGCCGGGAATGAAGAAAGAAATTGCCGAGTTTGTGTCGAAATGCCTACATTGCCAACAAGTCAAAGCTGAACATCAACGACCCGCAGGTTTACTTCAACCCTTGCCAATACCAGAGTGGAAATGGGAACATATCACTATAGATTTCATTATTGGTTTCCCTCACTCCAGTAGAGGTATGGATTCTATTTGGGTTATTGTTGATCGACTAACTAAATCTGCTCATTTCTTACCTGTCAAAACAATTTACAATGTGGATAAGTTGGCTACAATTTATATTAATGAGATTGTTAGACTGCATGGAGTGCCCGTGTCCATTGTTTCTGATAGGGACTCAAAGTTTACATCAAGAATTTGGCAAAGTCTACAAACAGCATTGGGTTCCGAATTGAGATTGAGTAGTGCCTACCATCCTTAGACAGATGGACAATCAGAGAGAACAATCCAAACTTTGGAAAACTTACTGCGTATGTGCGTGCTTGATTTCCAAGGGAATTGGGAAAGTCATTTACCTTTGGCTGAGTTTGCCTACAACAACAGTTTTCATTCGAGTATTGGTATGGCGCCTTTCGAGGCTTTGTATGGAAGAAAATGTCAGTCTCCTATTTGTTGGGCAGAAGTTGGAGATGGACCCTTACTTAGGCCCGAGATTGTGCATGAAACAACGCAAAAAGTGAAATTAATTCAACAAAGACTGAAAACCGCGCAAAGTCGACAGAAAAGCTACGCGGATGTGTAAAGGTGAGACAGGGAATATGAAGTGGGTGATCATGTTTTTGTTAAAGTGACACCGATGAAAGGACAGACTTGCTTTGGAGCTAAGGGTAAACTAGCACCAAAATATGTTGGGCCGTATGAAATCATTGAAAAGATCAATCCGGTGGCATACCAAGTATTACTTCCTCCTAAAATGGAACATATGCATAATGTCTTTCATATTTTGATGTTACGGGATTACATTCGGGATCCTTTCCATGTTATTGAGCCTACCCATGTAGTATTGAGTGATGATTACACTTATGAAGAACGGCCTATTCAGATTTTAACCCGACAAATCAAAAGGTTGAGAAACAATGAAATCCCGTTAGTGAAAGTGGATTGGAAAAATCATAGTGGCATGTACGCGACACAGGAAAGGAAAGACGATATGATGAAAATATATCCTGAATTGTTCCCCCTGAATCCGGTATTCTTCCAAAATGAAGGTAATTCGAGTTTGGAGGACCAAACTCTTTTTAAGGAGGGAAGACTATGACAACCCTCACCTCTGATTAGCGTTAACTCTTGATTAAGCATGATAAGTAATTGATTAGGATGAAATCCTAAATTGATTATGTGAGTGCGTTGTTTGAATTGCATTTCTATCTGTTTGTTACAGAAGATCTGTTCATGTCTTGAGTTCAAATTACGAATTGAAAGCCCTATCGGCAACCGATTCAGAAATTGACTTGTGTTATGTGCTAATTAGGATTTATATAATTTTATGGTAGGTTAAACCGAAATTTGATTTGGAATGAATAAATTAGAATAAATAATGCTAAATTAATTGAATATAGGTTATCTACATTTTTGCCATTGAGTGGATTAGTACAAGATCAACTCTTATTACACTTCATATATGTTTGACACATCATCTTTGGCCTCCTCCTTGTACACACACGTAAGAGAGGGAGAGACTTGAGGGAAATGGAATTCAACAAGAGTTTTTGCCTGAAATTTAGAAGAATTGAAGAAAATTTTGAAGACTTGTCTACATTGTTCAAGGATTTGGCTTAGGTGAAGTTTGATTGAGACGCCTAAGTAAAAGCTCAACCTTTTAATCTTGTTATTGAACCATCTAGGACTTGTATGTGAATTAAATAGGTGAATTAATGGGAGAATTGAGCTAGAATTTAAGGAAGATAAGTTAATTCATGAATGCATGTCCATACCATGGAGTTTGAAGTTTATTTTTATGAAATTCTCATATGCATGTTCTTATCATAGTTAAAATCCAAGAATTCACCATGTTTTGAGTTGAATGTTGCATATGATCATGGTTTGAGAAGCTCAAGATCAAGAAACTTCATGCATGTTTTGTTCTTGTATTGTTCATAAAAGTTACATCGAAATTGTATTCAATTGGCATACTTTTGGGCTTTGATTTTATAAATGATCTTCAAAACATGTTGTATTATGAGTTTCTAAGTGTTTTCCAGAAATTTGGTCCAAAAGGATGAGTTTTGGCATGTTTGATTCTTAGTTTGAGGCTTGGAAGCAAATCTGGAAAACCCAGAATTTGGCTTCCTCACTCGAGCAAAGGATTCCACGCTCGAGCGACTACCTTTGTTTTCAGACT